GCTGGTCAAACAGGTGAGGGAATGGCTCCTGCGGGGAGAAAGGCAGCAATGTGGGGGCTGGTGGCCACAGTCCCCCTTAGCCCCAGAGGCATCGCTGCCTCTTCGCCCTGCTGACGTGGCCTCAGAGCCCTGCCCCAGCCTCTTATCTTGCTGCTGGCACGCAGAAGCCTGCTCGTGGCAGCCCAGCCCCACGGGAAGGCCTCCGCAGCCTGGGCTAGTGTAGCCCCCTGGGAGGGCTGCAGCGCTGCCCCCCCTTCAGCAAGTCACCTGGGCTATTTGACTCACCCCCAGGATGTGGACACGGTTGTAGTAGGAGCTGAAATCCATGCTGAGCTGGATCAGGAACTTGCACACCTGCACCACGGAGAGCTAGTGTCGGCACTGCAGGGTCTGTCTGCTCTTGGGTCGTCTCCCCCACACCAAACAGCACTCGCAGTGTCACAGTCTCGTCCCAGGGAAGCCCCTCAGCACTGTCCCGGTGTTGCATACCGGCGGGCAGCACCCTTCAGGGTGCAGCCTTGCCCCAGGCTGGGGCTGTGAGAGCAGCACCCATGGGTGCTCTGGCACATGGTACTTACCGTCTCTGCGCTGGCTGTGATCCGGATCCCCTTGCTGGGTGAGGGCAGCTGTGCTGCCTGCTGCAAGACTTCGGGGAAGGGCAGGAGATAGTTGAAGAGCAGGAGCCATTCGCCCTGTGAAAGGGTTCGGTGTGTCCGAGAGGGCCGGATCCCCCTGGGCCAGAAGCATCGATCCTCCGATCCTCTGGAGCTGAGGGCACACAGCTCCCTGCAGCCTCCGTCCCTCAGCACTCACCTCTTCCCGGAGGCAGGAGAAGTTCAGTTCTGATGCTGGCGGCAAGGGTGGGTATGTGCCTGGGAAGGAGGCGAGAGATGGCTGCTGTGCGCATAGCAGCCCCGGTGCTGGGAGCCCTGGGGTCTCCCTGCTGCAGGGACAGCCCAGGGGGCGCCCCGTCGCCCCACCAGCCCCCTGCCTCTGGCAGAGTCGCTGCTGAGGCGGTTGTGGGGCTCCAGGAACAACCCTATCCCCACGCAGCCGTGAGGAACAGCCCCAGAGTCGCTGCTTAGGGAGAGGGCCCGGTGGGCTAGGGCTCACCCCGCTCCACAGCCCGCTGGTAGGTGTCGAAGAGCGTGGCCAGCCGGGCACAGTTGTACATCACGAAGGCGCCGCTCTTGGTTCCCTTTGTGGAGATGCTGCTGTCCTCCAGGTCCAGAACGATCTGAGGGAAGAGAGAGGCTGCGGTCCAGGCTGCTCGGCACACAGCCGGTCCTGGCACGTCCCTGCACCTCTCGCTGGGGGAGCGGAGCCTTCCCCAGCAGGCAGAGCGTGACCACCAGTGTGCTGAGCCTGGGCCCGTCCTGGGCAGATGGGTGCAGGCTAACGGGGCTGGTGGCTGCTGGTGCAGGAACACGAGCCTGCACCTGCTTGCTTCAGCCCATGGGAAAGCCCTCTGCCCCAAATCCAGGGCAGCCAGAGCCCACAGAGCGCCTCCCCTCTCCCCGTCGCTACTTGTCCCTCTGCTTCTGCCCGACCTCAGCCTGTGCCATGAGCTGTAGCTCCCAAAGAGCGGTATGTCCCACTGCTCACAGGCCCCCCGGCTCTGCACAGACTGTTGCAGCTCTGGCCTGTCCTACCTGACTACGGTGGGCAGTGCTCAGCATCTCAAACCTGATGGCAGCCGCTGTCAGGACATCGATAACCTCATTCCAGGCCTCGTCTGCAAAAAAACACAAATGGGGCCACAGCACGGCTTGCTCCAGCCCCGCGTACCTGCCACCCTCAGGCAGAAACCCCCCAGTGCGGGCTGGGGACCAA